ATATATATATATATAGTACTAGATGATAAGAGGGGGCCCCACTCTTGGGCGGCAAAGCTGAACCTCTAAGAGGGTCGGTTAGCCTGTTCTTTTCCCCCAGCTGAACTGGTTCAAGCATCACCGGTCTAGGCAGCCCTAGGCTACCGTGTCTCAGATACTTGCAGGAGACACTCGCCGTCAAGTTGTGGTTGAGTGCCCTTTGTAGTTTGCTGAAACAATTGCTTAGCTTCCCTTTTGTGGGTGCATCGACGTCACTTGTCCGACGTCTTGATCGAACAATTATAAACATTGAGAAAGTTGGAAAAATGAGTGGAATAAATAATAGTAAAGAGAAGAAGCCAATTTATCAAGGCACGATTCCATTGGTTCCCTTGAAGTTTTTTACTTAAGAAAGATTCTATTATTACTTGGGAAGAGTTTTTACATGTAAAATAACATCACAAAATGAGAAGAAAATAGTCGTCATATATTGAAGTTTGACTTGGTTAATGATGACCGGTGAAACCCCATATCCCTTGGTATAGGGCCATTGATCAAGTTGCAAGTATCCGCAACTCTAGGAAAAGTATGATATATTTGGTGTAACATATTGTAGATTCTCCTTGACATTTAACATGTTATTATACTTGATACCATTCTAGGGCTCTTAGAAGGTGTTTAGGAGTTGCGGAGAGGTGGTTGTGGAATTTCAAGGGGATGATAATATGGGTGATCAACGGTGTTTGACGGGAGATAAAAGACATTTGGCGGCTGTGCTGGCTAAGAACAACATAGAAAACTAAAAAACGATGATGTACGAACGAGGAGGTTCCATCACTTGCACCTGAGCAAGATACAAGTACACCACTTGCAAAAGAAAATGATACAACACTCCGGAGAGCATAAAACAAAGAACAATGTCTCTAAACAAAATAATAATAACAAAAGTCTCCAAATTAGCAAAAGAAACATAAATAATTCCCTCTAGAAAATAATCCAAGTAAAAACTAGAGAAATAGGTAAGAACCATAAGAGGAAGAACCAAAGGAAGAAAAATTGTTGAAAATAAAGGAAAGGAAATAAAAATAAATAAAAAAGCAATTTGGCATTGGACTTTCATGTTCACGGAACTAATAGTGATCCTGCATGTTTCTCGACATCGTGGAAATGGGCGGGACGCTTACATTATTCTCCTGAGGTAGGTGAAGCATCTTCTATATCTAGAAACACCTAGATCCTACTGTTTGATGTTATTTCTCATAAAACACCTGTAGAGATTTCTAAATTAGCAGTTTATCACTCATATTTGGCCATCTAGTTTTGGTGGCCGCTCAACTGAACTGCAATTTAATACCCAACTTACTCCGTAGGGCCTTTAAAAAATAGTTCAAGAACTTTTCATCTCAATTTGAAGTGATGATATGCTGGACCACTCGTAGCGGTGGCTGCTTTGAGTCCGACTCGATTTCTCGAACTCATCATATTATGGGACAATCAATGTTAGTCTTTTGTTGCTTTTCTGAAGACTTGCAAAAAGATAATTTGTGGCACCATATCTTCATACATATCAAAATCCTTCCAAGACAAGAACACGATGCGCTTCCCATTTTGGTGAAAAAGTATGCGTTCCTGTACTCACATGATGTCCGCAATGATCATACTGCAAATGACAACCTAATAGGATATGATAGATATTCATAGATACTACGTTGCACCACATTTACTCTTTAGAACTTATATGTAATAGAAAATTCACGGGGCTCTCTTGTCAATACCAATCTAACTCCCCATCTTCAACCAAGTCAAGAAATATGACTAAGAATGATTTTTAATAGTGAGGCTTAATTTATCTACCAATTGTGTAGATACCGCATTTTCACGGTTACCTCCATCAATGATGAGGTTATTCACCTTTCCATGCACGATACAAAGGGTACAAAAAATATTTTGGCGGAGCAACAATTGCTAATGCGGGTCATCTGAAAGTAGGCGCAACGCCTGTCCCGTCTGAAAGTAGGCAGAACTCCCGTCACATTTGAAACTTGGTAGTGCGCCTGCTGGTTCAGGCTTTTCCTTGTTGTGGACTATCGGTCAGTTTGTTTTGCCCACTTCTAGTTATCCTGTTATTATAAATCTTCTTTTGTGATATATTAGGCCTAGTTTTTGCATGTGTTTGTTCGGGACAGCTGTCGACGTCTCTAGGTTTCTCTTCTAGGGTCGTGTCCAAGGGTCCGAGTGGTGCTCCGGTTGTAACCGACTCCCGAGGTGATGATTTAGCTTCCTCACCCTTCTCAGTCCTTCCTGCTTTGCTCCCTCCTTTCTCTCCATTGCTGCTATAGCCCGAGACCACATCCCCTTCCTAATTTCCTCCCGTTCCATCCCTCTTACCTTGCCAATGCCCTTGAAACAACGAAGCGTTGTTGTTTCTTGCTATCATCTAGTCATCCAGCTTTGCTGCAGCCACCCCGACTTGCCTCTTCTTGATGGTTCCTGCTTTTCCAACCATCTCTATCTTGTCGCAACCCCATCCTGATTCCTAGCATCTCTCCCTCTTCTGTTGGAAGTTAATACTTCTCCTTTGTGTTCTCACTTTCTCCAATATCTCCCGTGTCACTCCTTTTATTTTCTACTATTCCCTATTCAGTGAAAAAGATTATCCTTATGTTTGGGAAATCTAATGCAATGTACCCAAAACTTTAGCACTTGAAGGATTTATTATTTGTGATGGATTTGGGAGTGCTGACGGTCTCCATCCTTTCTCCACTTTGGATTGATTTTTTCTCAGGTAGGGACGAATTGGGCGTTTCATTTGGTGTACTCTTACTTCTTGATACAATGACTGAATCCTATTTCAAGGGTGGTACGGATCTAATACTGCTGTGTTGTCTCTCCACCTTCAGGGCTAGGGTCTTGATTATTTGTAATGTCTTTAGGGTTGTAACTAGATCACATTACCAATGGATGATTTCAATCACCCCATATATCGAGCTATGTGTTATCCTTGAGCTCTACTAGCTCACACTTCAATATAAGGTGCTCGAACTTAGCGATGTACTCCTATGCTTAGAGATCTTGCCGCTGTAAGTGGTGAAGTTTCAAAAATATGTCATGTCGGTAATGTGAGGGTAGGTATTTGCATTGTGTCTTCCTTTTTATCATAGACCAAGTTGTGTTTTTATTAGTTTCCTCTCGCTAGCGTAGACGTTTTGTACCACTGTTTGGAGTCACTCGAACATCTAGCAAGTATATTTTCACTCCAAAAACTTGGCTTCTCTTATGATTTTCCTTGCTAAATCTTCGGGGCATTGGCTCTTCATCATTAGAAATTGATAGGTGGGAAGGGATTCACTTTCTCATCTCGATTTGGTGAGTCACTGTTGTGGTTATGAGAGACCTAATCGATTTTCACATCTCAAATGCATGCAATAAATTTCTATTGTAGCTGAAGGATTCCCGCAATGTATCTTTAATAGTGAGAACTTAATAGCTCTTTGCGGATTTCTTCTAAGTGGCATAACGTCTCGTTCTTCCAATTGAAGTTTGACATAAAAGAAAGATATGGCTTAGGGTTGGGGTTAGGGCTAGGGCTAGGTGGATAATGTAGGTAATTCTTTTTTTTTTGTGGGGGTGTTAGGTTAGGTTATATGGTTTTTTGGTTTGGGTGTAGGAAAGACAAATCTCTAAAAATTTAGGGTTTGTCGGGCTCTGATATCATATGATGCCGTTCTAGAGCTCCTAGAAGGTATTTAGGAAGTGGGTTTTGTGGGGAAGTGGTGGTGGAATTGCAAGGGGATGATAATATGGGTGATCGATAATTTTTGGGTAAATGACGTTCTGCAGCTATCATGACTGGAAAACAACGAAAAAAACTGCGAAACAACAATGTACAGACGATGGGGAGGTTTCACCACCTGTTCCTGAGCAATACACAGACACACCACTTACAAAAGAAACACCACTTGCAAAAGGAAATGATCCTAGTTTCTAGAGAATATAAAACATAGAATGTCTCTAAACTCTTTAACCATAGCAAAAATCTCCAAAACAATAAAATAAACACATAAATAATTCCCTCTACAAAATAATCTAATTATATAACAACTAGAAATGGAAGAAGCGAATGAAGAAAACTTGCTGAAAGTAAATGAAAGAAAAAAAAAAATTAAAAAAAAGCAACCGGGTGCTGGACTCCCGTGATGCAATGCCACGAGTTCAGCAACACCGCGGAAATTGGCGGGATGTCTGCGTCACTACCTTTTGCGTATTTCTTGACTTTTAGCAGATAATCACATTTTCATGTATGTTTTACTTTTTGGTATATTGTGCCGTGAAACGCCATGTGAACATATTAGTACGTGCAATCAACCAAATGTTTTCCGAAAGGCTTTAACCTGGGCAGTTTCCAATAGATCTTTACAAACCATGCATCATTCATTATACCTTTGTTATGAGGTCACTAGAAAGTTAGCTAGCATTGTAACATAGCCAGTCTATGTCTCTTAGCAATGGTTGTATACTTGGAATTCTGCGTCACTTTTTTGTCAGTTTTATTATATTCTTAAGTTCATCATGTTGATTGATATACTTTTATGTAGTGAAGCTTTTGCTTTCGGCTAATAATAGGTTGGAAATCGGTCCAGTGAATTCCATCCTGAGGTTAGAAGAGTAAGACGAGAAGGCTCTTACATATATGAAGAATTTATGCATACAGGAGGAACTGATGTGAAGGTTATCATCTTTTATCCTTGCTGTTTTTTGAATATTAGATTCTTAATTATTTTTATTAAGGTTTGTGAGAACAAAAAAATGAAGGATATGTATTCTGTTATTTAAATTGCCATCAAGTTGGTGTTGAACACATTCTTCTTTGTATATGGCCAAGATATTGATGAAATTATTCATCCTATTATCTACCAGATCTTTTCCTTTTTTTTTTCTCTATATAGTGGTTTATATGATTCGTAATGTCTCTAGTACTGCCTGGCATGGTTTTTGAGCTATGATACGTAATGGGTTTGGCTAAATTATCTCATGATTTCTACGATGAATTGGACTCTTTTGGTGACTTGTAGAAAAATGCATATTTTTCTCATTGTCTAATTGAAATCATTCTACTTTTTATTGAAATTTGGGGAACGAGCTTGAATGAAAATAAAGATTTACGAAATAACAAAAACAGAAGAAAAATTGAAAATGTCACTGGGTAACTAAGCAGCAAAGAGTTTAGCCCGGGAAAACAAATCTAGAACTTCTTTTAGGAAGGTTAATCTTCTTTATCCTCTTTTTGATAAGAATGTTCTTTTTCATGTGATAGTTGTACATCGAAAAATAAGCTTGGGAGATAATTGTTGAACCAAATGTTTCTGTTGGAAAACATTTGTTGTCCTTTTCTTGCCAAAAAAAATCAAATTATTATAAGGAAGAAGATAAATGTCTCTGGAATCACTATTAATGAAATTATCCCTCCAATGAGAGAAAGCATCTTCAAATAGTCCAAACAGAGATTGAAGACTAAAAAGCCGCGATTAAAGAATATATATTATGTTTGAGGGTTTTGTGGAGTTTAAGGAATCCAACCAAGTGATTGATCATGTTCTAAGGCTCTTAGAAGGTGTTTGGGAAGGGGATTTGGTGACGAACCTGTTGTGGAATGACAATGAAATGAAAATATGTGGCAAAGCTTGGAAGTAATATGAGGTGTTTTGCGGCTGAAATTTGCTGTTGGACGGCATGTTGGCAGGATTTCAACTGCTGTTTGGCTGAAAACAACGGGTGATCGGGAAAACGGCTAGGTGTGGATGGCGAGGTTGATCCACCACCTATTCCCGGGCAAGATACAAACAATGTTATTAAAGCGTTAAGTGTAATTCGATGTCAAGGCTTTATTATTGCTCCAAAACACAAAGCATTAAGTGAAGCTATACTTTTATTAACCAAAACGCTAATTGGCTATGCAAAATTATTAATGTATAAATTTATTCATTAAAAATTATAAAATATAAAAAATGACTTAAAAGTTGATACAAAATAGAAAAAAAAATGGTACAATACATAATTTGAAGGAAAAAATTAAGGGTAAAAATTTTGAATAAATTTTAATAGTTTGTTGCAATAATTAAAAATTTAAAAATTACAAAAATAACTGCAAATTAACTTCAGATATTAAAGCGCCCCTTAGTGAAACGAAGTGGGCATCTGTCACACTCTTCGTTTTGCTCGTGAAGCGCATTTCAAAGCGTGTTTTTAAAAACAATGGATCTAAATACACTTGTAAAATCAAGACGATGCAACACTCAGGAGAGCAAAAAATAGAGAGTAAAATTTCCAAATACAATAACAATAGCCAAATGTCTTATCAAAATAGCAAAACATCACCAATTAATAGTCTTCTAATAAGATATAGCCGAAATAAAAAATAATAAATAACTCAAAGGAAAGAAATATGCTGAAAATAGGAAAAATGGGGTGGCTCTATCGACCGCACTGTAGTCTGAATTGTAGCCTTTGCGCGATTCCTCACGGTAGCACGAGATTCTGCTTTTTTTAAAGAGAAGCTTCTTTTTATTTTCATCTGGAAGGATCTAGATCCCACTGTCAGTTGTTTTTCCCACTAGGCACTTAAGGAGATTTTCAAAGCTCCGGTTCATCACTCTTATTTGGTTATTGATCTGGGATGACACTGCTGAACTGAACTAAATTTAATACCCAAATTACTCCATATAACCTTCTAGAAATAACTCAAAATTTTCTAATGTTTGACATGTTTGGCCTATCTCAATAGTGACAACTCGAAGGTATATTGAATGTCTAAACATCTTAAAAATCTCATTTATGGGGCTACCTTGTGTTTGATATCAGTTTCTCAAACTTATGACCCTTTTGGAAAAATAATGCTAGTCTTGTTGATGCTCTTATTAACACTTATAAAAAGATAGCTCATGTTATGGCGCCCATTACCTTGGACTCACTACCTTCTAGGACAACCAATGTTAGTCCTACTGAAGCCTCTCTCATGGGCTTTAGCTTAAACCACTAATATCCATCTCTTGTTGGCTGAAGCTGACACTACTCTTTGATGTTTTCATTTTTTCTTGTCACTGTCCATTTCTTCAACCGCTCCATGCTCTATGAATGAGATCATTCTTCTGTTTGGATAATCAGACGCAATATGCGTAAAGTCGTGACACTTGAAACATTTTCTAGTTGAGTTGAATTTAGGCATGCTATGGGTTTCCACTTTGTCTCCACTCTGAATTGATTTTTTCTCTAACATTGTAGGCTTAGACGCCCCACTGTGTGTACTCTTGCTGCTTGATCCTAGGGTCTGTTTATAGGGTGGCGGGGACCTGATACTGCTATCTTATCTCTCTATCTTTAGACTTAGGGTCTGAATATACCGTAATGTCCAATAGGGCCATAATTGGACTACATTGCTAATGGACGTTCTTAATCTCCCCAGAAATCGAGCTATTATGTTCTCCTTGGGCTCAACTAGCTCACACTTCAATGTAAGTTACTCGAACTCAATTATGTACTTCTCTACAGAGAGGTCTCTCTACAGAGAGAACTTGAACCCGAAACTAGTCGGATGGAGTAGCTAATTTTTTCTTGTTGCTATAGAGGAAAAAGATCCCTCCTCTAATCGCGCTTGCAGTTTTCATTGCACACGACTTTCCCTATGTATATATCAATTAAAAAAAAAGTGCATAACGATAAGAAAGTCTAAGAATTTTCACTACTCAGTGAATTTCACCACGAATATGATGATATATACAATATATCATCATATATGGGCATTTCAGAATCTAAATTCTTGGATTTTTTTTTTTGTGAAAATAAAAGTCTCTGATGAAGTTGTTGGAACAAATCCTAGATGTGATGCGTTGGGAGGTACTTGCACTATATTTCCCATTTTATTATAGACCTCGTAATGATATTGTTTTTTTTTCGGACATGATCGAACACTTTTCATGTTCGCACACCAGAAGGAAGCATTCTTCCTAAGGCTTAATGGTGGTCATCTTAACAAATCCTATATGTGATGCGTTGGGAGGTACTTGCACTATATTTCCCATTTTATTATAGACCTCGTAATGATATTTCTTTTTTTTCGGACATGACCGAACACTTTTCATGTTCGCACGCCAGAAGGAAGCATTCTTCCTAAGGCTTAATGGTGGTCATCTTAACTCTCTTGTCTTGGGGAACACCATTGCATTAAAAACTCATTCCATTATTTTGAGCAACTTGATAAACTTGTTTGGATCCATGCAACCGTCAAAATTCAGTAAATTCATCTTTACTCAAAGCTCTTGGCTTCTCTAATATTTCATGCCAAATTAATAGATTATTGGTTTTTTTTCATTGAAAACTTCCTGATGGAAGGGATTTACCTCCTTCTCATGATATGGAGAGTCACCGTTGTGGCTATGGGTAATGATGCGGGAGCATCCTGCATTACTGTGGGTTAAGACGACAAAACGTCTTGTTCTTCCAACCAAGATTCCGGCTAGCTCTGATACCAAATGACACCATTCTAGGATAACTAGAAGTTATGATAAAATACAAAAGGTGTAGTATTGATTATGTGAGTGCGAAGAATGGATAACGGCTGAAAAGCAGCTTCAATGGTGATTGGACGGCGAATTGAAAGCAGAAAGGGGCAGTTTCCTGCTGTAACAAGCAGGTGACAACAGATTGGGCAGCTGTCAAGTGGAAAACAACGGGTGAACAATGAATCGACGAGGTGCGGGCGGTGAGGGAAATTCATCTCTTGTTATTGGATAAACTACAAACATACCACTTGTGAAAGGAAGATATTAAAATATTCCAGAGAGCAGGAAATCAGAGAATAACTCTCAAAACACAAAAACAAAACTAAAAAATCCAAAACCAGAATATCCCCTATATCAAGGTATCCTAAGAGAGAATAATCTATTTAAAAACTAGAGAAATAGGATATAATCATAAAGTAAGAAAATTTGCTAAAAACAAATTAGGAAAGGAAATAAAATAAAATAACAAAACGACATCTATTCGATCGTTCGTTCGGCTAGACTCATGTGATCTTGGGAGCCAATATCATGGGATCGTGGGAAACTGTATCCCGCATCACAGAGGTATGGTTGAAATGGACACAAAAGGGTTGTGGATAGATTTTTATCTTGTTAGTATTGGCTTAAAGACTTGTTGAGATTTGTATATAGTATCTATTTGTAAATATGAAATATAGTAGAAATTTAAGGGTTTATTTGTAAGAACGTTGGAAGATTCTGTAAGTCCAAGTCATTATGAACCAATTTTCTTGGAGTATTTACTTGTTTCTGGCATCAGAGCTAAATTTGAACTCCAACCATCATTATAGTACCTCTTCAATACTGCTCAGGAAGCCAATGTTAGTGCCATACGAGGTTATCTCCAAATGAGGAACGAAGCCAACAACGACGAGGATAATGGTGATGATTCATCTGAGAGCCACGACAAGAGGAGTAGGCTCTATTGGTATACGCGAGACTGAGTAGTTTCCCGGCTCGATAGCTTCCCTTGCTTTGAAGTTGTTGCAGTGTCGAACTTCTTCTGCGAATTTGTTAGAGGACTCTACTTTCACTCTTTTGGATACGTGGGGAGATCGATACTTGTAGAACAATCAAAAGAGTCTTCGTTCAGAAGTAGAGGAGGCCAAGAAGAGGAAGGAATTTGCATGTGATTTGTGTGATCTAGACTAGGATTTTTGATTGAGGATGTCAGGAGACATAGATAGTGCGGGAGGTAAATGATTTAAGCTTCTAGGAAAGATGGGTCATAAAGTTCTGAAGGTCTTGGTCGAACTCATACAAGGGGCTAGCATATAGACGGGAGCCACTACCTTAGCACATGTTCCAACACGGACGAAGCTAGATCTCCCTTCTGTGGATCTGAAGCTTTATGAACCGACCACATATTTGAGTTGGTTGCCTCAGATTGAGGCTGCTATAATATGAAAGAGATTTAGAGGGATATCTGATGGGGGTCGAACCGATAAAAAGGGTCGAGCCGATAAAAATGGATGCAAATCATATCTATGGGGAAGAAAAGAGAGGAGTGTCAAAATGGTCTTTGGTCTCTGTATAGAGGGTCATTTTAACCTCCAAGCCTATAAAAATGTCAATTTACTCGCTGGACTCTTTTAATACGTGCCAAAACGAATCCGTCAGCTTTTCTATTAGTAGTAGATTTTGCAACTATCGTTGATAACAAAAACTGCTTATTTGTCTGTAAAATTTCAGAGGTGTTTGAGCTACATATGGAGGAGTTGCGCAGAAAGCAAGAGGAGATATCTAAGAGAGATGGTGACATCAAAGTATTGGAGGCTATAATTCAAACACTCAGTAGAAATGGTTTGAGTGCCTCCGAAGACTAACTTGTCAGATTTTTTCGGCTTGTGGAGCTGTCTAGGCAGCCCAAGTTGAAAGCGATCATACATGAAGAGCCTGGAGCTCTCAATAAAAACCATACATGGGAGACACTGTCATTACCAACGAGGAAAATATCAGTTGAGTGCAAGTAGATCTTTATAGTGAAACAAAATTCTGAAGGGAAGGTGGAGCATTATAAAGCACGATTGGTGGTGAAAGAGTACAGTCAGACGTATGACATTGACTATAATAAAATCTTTGCATTAGTAGTGAAGACGAGCACGGTGAGGACATTGGTTTCTCTGATAGTGAATGGTGGGTGAAGCTTACACCAACTTGATTTGAAGAATGTGTTTCTTCATGGTGAGTTACTAGAGGAAGTGTATATGAAGACACCACCAGGATTCAGTATAGGCCAAACTGAGCGAAGTGTGCAAGCTCAGGAATTCACTTTATGGTTTGAAGCAGTCTCCTTGAGCATAGTTTGACAAGTTTAAAAAGACTATGGTGGGCCTAAAATATCAAAAAATCAATGCTGACCATTCAATGTTCTTTCGAAAGCATAGGTGTCACACTAGTATGCTTGCTGTGTATATTGATGACATGATTGTCGTTGGTGATGATGAGACAGAGATTGCTTAGCTAAAGGTAAGATTAGATAAATAATTTGAGGTAAAAGATCTTAGACAACTCAGATACTTTCTTGGGATTGAGATGTTCGGTGGACCAGAGAGGATGGTCTTGTCTCAGATGAAGTATTTGTTGGATTTTCTCACAAAAACTTGCATATTGTGATGCAAGCCTGCAGCCTCTTCAATTGATCAGAAGGCCCTGCTGAGTGCAAAAACAAGAGAGCTAATTGATCGTAACAGGTACCAGAGATCGGCGGGCCGTTTGATCTATCTGAGTCACACTCCACTCGTCTTGACATCGCATTTGCAGTGAGCGTGGTGAGCTGCTACATGCATGATCCATGGAAGGGCTATATGGACTCAATGTATCAAGTTTTCAGGCACCTAAAGAGTGCATTAGGGAAGGGGTTAATTTTCAGGAAGAATGGACCTGTTGGTATTGATCACTATTATGACTCTAATTTTACGAGCTGTGTTGCTGACAAGAGGTTCACATCAGGATACTGCATGTTCGTATAGGACAACTTGGTCACTTGGAAGAGCTTGAAAATATTAGTAGTAGTGAGGTCAATAGCAGAGGTGGAGTATAAGACTATGCCCTAAGGAATTGTCAAGATGATGTGGCTGAGAGCCTTGCTAGTCGAGCTCAAGGTGGACCAAGGAGCTCAAATGAAGTTGTGGTGTGACAACAAGTCAACATTCAACATTGCCAGCAACCCGATGCAATACGATATAATCAAACATGTAGAGATTGATAGGTTCTTCATCAAGGAAAAATTGAATAATGAACAACTGAAGCTAAGTCATGCAGTCACTGGAGAGTGTAGTCACTGGAGAGCAAGTGGTTGACTGCATCACCAAAGGACTTAGCTCATTAGATTTGTCTAAATTATGTGACAAGAGGGCTTTGTGAATATCTTTTACCTATCTTGAGGGGGGAGTGTTGAGATTTGTATCTAGTTTAGGGTTCTATTTGCAATTAGGAAGAAGAGGTTTAGGGGTTTATTTGTAAGAAAATTGTAAGGCTCTATATAAGCCCAACTCATTAATGAATAAAACAAGTTTTTTTTCTTAGCAAGTATTTCTTTAAGAAAACCTGTCATATTTCTCTTTTTATGAAATCTCTAAGTTGGGCCATCCATTTGACTGGTTTGGATGGTTTGATTGGCGGATTTTCTCGATTGATTTTTGTTTCATGATCCAAAAAATTGAGCCAGTGAAATTTACCCAAAAACTAAAATTGTTACATGATGCAATACAATATGTACTGATTAGCGTGGAATGAAGGAGTTGAGTGCAGTTTTAAGTCGACAATTAGAGCTTTGAACATAGGAAACATCAATGAAAAAGTGTGGTTATTTTTTAAACTAATTTTCTTTTTTTGGTTGAACCAATTTTTTTTTTTTAAAATCAAATCGACAACTCTAATTTGTATAACCCTTACAGGTAGTTTGGTAGCATTTAATAAATCTAAAGAATTGCGAAAAAAAAAGAAGTTAAATCCGGTGTCCCCTTAAATCCATTTTGCTCTACCTTCTGTTTATTTTTGGATGTAAATCTTGATTTGTTAAATCCAACTATTTGGTGGATTTAACGGATTTAACTTGATAAGAAAGCCATGACTATAAGAACCTGAAATAAAATACCAAACATGTCTAACAATTTTAACGGGATATGATCTTAACTGAACCAAACACTATTCTAGATTTAACGGTATATGGATTTCATAAATCTGGATTTACCGGATTTACTAAATCATATTAAATGTAAATCTTGAGTGCAGCCAAACAACCCCTTAATCTTAAACCAAAACTGAACCATCAGTTTAGTTCAATATGATTTTTTTTTGTTTTAACTAACTACTGCACACTGTTATTTTTTGTCGTAATTACTTTGAATATTTCAAGCTACATTTGGTTCCCAGGAAATCACACCTTTAGTAACATTAGATACAATCAAAAGCTTAGATCCCCCCTTTTCCCACCATTTATTTTGCTGCTCCTTCATCAGTTCAGGTTTGAACTTAGAATTTGAAATTATGTATGAACTTTCCTTTAGAATCCCTGCCCTCGCTAGTCTTCTGAAAATGATCTCTGCATTAGCCGCAAATGACAACAATGATATTGATCCTCCTATTCTTGAAGCACATAAGTGTTAAATTTCTAGTGAATAGGTTTAAAATTTTATTTGTCTGATGGAGCAGTGACAAGATAAGCAATCTATACTCACTCTTGCTATCCAAGCAATGTGTCCAAATTGAGTGTTTTGCATTTTTTTTATCCAATGGATTTTTCATCCTTGACACACTTGCTATCTTTATTTGGGCTAATGCATTTTTCCCTTTTTTTTTCCTCTGGAAATTCTAGTTAATTTCACTTACTGTACTTGTATTATTTTTTGTTTATAAAATCTTGCTTTATTAAAAAAAAAAAACCGTGCTAAATCAAATCTGCCAAGGTGGGAGGGAGAGAAAGTGAAGTGAAACTGAATTTGATTTTACTTCGTAAGATAAATCAAATAGTATCCTAGAATTGGTTTTACTTGAAAGTTGATTTTTGATCGCCAAGTTTAGATTGTATTTTCTGTCTCATTCCTTCATGCTTGTATGGATCTCTCTCTTTTTTTATTATTTTTATTAATTTAGGTTTATCTTGCAATATTTTTTCATCCACCCTCTATTGTCTTTTGTTTTGGCTAAATTATTTTTCTTTGTTCTTCTTTCACCTGCCTTGTTTGTATTTTTTATCATGATTTCACAAGAACAATATTCTCATGATGCTATCCCTGATTTTCTAAGAAAGAATAATTTATTCTTATGTAGGTTTATACCGTGGGCCCAGAATATGCACATGCTGAAGCAAGGAAGTCTCCGGTTGTTGACGGAGTTGTAATGAGGAATCCTGATGGAAAGGAAGTAAGTGATACCAGAACTAGCAAGGGAAATAGTGGAAACACAAAAAACAAACTTTTATTATTATTACAATAGGGTCATAATATGACTCAAATAGAAAATAGTAACACAAATATAAAACGACACAAACAATACTTCTAAATGTATTCCAATTGGTGGTGGAGATCGTTAAGGTGGGTCGAGATAGCTAGCAGGGGTGGTTACACCAGCACAGTGTTGGTGGTAGCGAGGGGAAGGTGTGAAATTGAAGGGATAGCAAGTGGGATGGGTTTTCGGTGGTCTGCAGCTATCAATTGTTGGTTAGGAGAAGCTTGAAGTGGTAGGTGGTTAAGGGGAGTGAAAGAGATAGGTTGGGGAGGATAAAATGGGAAGATTTAATCACTACCTCAGAAAGGATACAGTCGGAGTAACACCACCTCCTCAAATACAACCCACAAAAGGGAAGGAGACTCCACACAAGAGATCTGAAATAAAAAAACACTCAGAACTGACTCCCTGCATACCTAGGACAACAATTTTTAGGCTTTGACACAAAAGGGGGGCAAAAGAATTCAAAAAAGTCTTCCCAAGTGCGATAGCTTGCAAGCCTCCGCCCGGATTGGGACGATTTGCAGGTCTGCTTCGCGATTTTGCCCTCACGGGAATTTTCCCGATGTCGAGTGAGGTTTCGTGCCTCTTCTGTCGTCGTCGCGATAACTCGCAATCTCGCACCCGTGGGAACGACCTCCCACATCGGGCACTAGGGTAGATCCTGCGTTAGTCTCCTAGGGTTGGGGGAGTTTCAACTTCATTGGTCGAAGCTTTTATTTTGTTATCGACCATCTTGGATCCTACTGGCGACTGTACTGTTGCCCGAGGAATTTGAGGGTCTTCCTCACCTTGCAAGCAGATTCACATATCGATCTGTCCTCCTGAGGCTGTGAACCACGCTTATACTGTTGAGTCTTCTAAAAGTAACCCACAATCAGTTCAAATGGGTGTATAGTAGTAGTAATCCGACCCTTCTTGCATGGCAGTGGTGCTGTTGGTTCGACATTGTCCAGACATATCATTGGTCGTATTTTCTCTGTATCGGGGGTGGGTGTATCTATCTTTCTGTATAGTGTCATTACTAAAACGGATTCCACTAATCCGTCTTGTTGAAAAGTGATTCTGTTGCCTCAGACTTTTTCGAAGGAAGGAGGGTAATGCGTTTCTTGTCCTTGGTGAAGGAATAAGTGTTTTTATATCCGTCGTGCTAAGTCCTTCGATCATATTTCCATGGTGGTCCCGACAAGAGGTGACACACATCCATAGGGACACGTTGCACACACCTGGTCTTGCAGCTGTCCTCCGATCTTTGGTTGATGTTGATATAATTCTCTTTTTTCAACCACATTATTAAATATGGTTGGAATGTCTCTGAGTTGACTAATTTATTTACCATCAGTGTCGACGCCTTCTTTTGTTGTCGATGACGAGACAACATACCTTTCGTTTTACTGTGTAACGGGTGTAGAATATGTTGTGGCGAAGCCAGTGCAAATCCCTCGTGTCCTCGATTTGTAGGATTCGTTGAATCTTCAACCACATTATTAAATATGGTTGGAATGTCTCTGAGTTGACTAATTTATTTACCATCAGTGTCGACGCCTTCTTTTGTTGTCGATGATGAGACAACATACCTTTCTTTTTACCGTGTAACGGATGTAGAATATGTTGTGGCGAAGCCAGTGCAAACCCCTCGTGTCCTCGATTTGTAGGATTCGTTGAATTATGAGCGCTCTCCTTCATCCAGGGAAGCTGATACTCCTCGACCTGTTTCTTGGCTTTCTCCTCATCGCTAATTTCTTTTACGATGCCTTGATCTGTGAGCGTGATTACCCTGCTCGTGGGGCAGCTGGAAGCAATGTGGCCGTAACCGTGACAGTGCTAGCACTTCCTGACCGACACCGTGCTGGAGGAGTTGCCCTTCTTCTGTTTCTTCCTGCTATAATCCGTAGTGTCATTCTCCTACCCGGGCTTGCTTTTGTCGCTTGAGAGATCCCTGTCAGTTGTAGTAATTGTAAGTGACAGCCTGCCTGAAGGTTGTTGCTTGAAATATGATTGTTGCCGCCTCTGCTTTTGTTGCATTTCCACTTTCAAGGCTAATGTCTGAACATCCCCTAGCGTCCAGTATGGTTGTAACTGTACCACATTGTGACAGGTTTCAGACGCCCAAGATATCTGCCTATCGTATGTTCCTCTTGCTCTGTCAGTTCACATTTCACATGCAAGTGGTCGAATTGGGCAGTGGACACTTCAACTGAAAGATCAACCCGCTACAAGTTTTGGAGTTCTAGAAACATATCCTAGCGATGGTGGGGTGGGAGGTACTTTTTTTGCATTATTTTCATCTTCTCCCACCTAGTGATCTTTTCACTGTCTTCCCTCTTCCTCTGACTTTGCACATTTTTCCACCATAGGGAAGCACCATTCTTCAACTTAATAGCGGCTAGCTTTACTCGTTTATCTTCTGGTACATCTTTATATTCGAAAATCCGTTCAACGAATTGCAGCCAGTCGATAAACTCATTGGGATCCATACTTCCCTCGAACTCCGGGAGGTTCATCTTAATGCCAAAGTCCCGTTGACCTCCATAAGAAGCCTCTTCACTTGGCCTTTTTTGATATTGGATACCAAAACGACGCGACCGATATTCTTCGTCGCTTTGTTCTTCCCTATGGAACGAATTAAGATTCTCGTCTATGTATGCCCTACGACTCTCTCGATCACGGTCAAAGGTAATCTCTTCTTGGTTCCCATCATCTAACTCGGCTAGTCTCTATTCTAACAATGAATTTCACGTTGGATCTCTTCCCGAGTAGAGCCTGATGTAACTCTCTGTAGTGGCATGGCTAGAATTGAGAATTGAAAAAAAAAGTTGGAGGTGAATCTGGTAGGGGTGGGTGCTGTGGAACCCTAGGATATGACTAGGGTTGTGCTAGCTCTGATACCAAATGATACCGGAACTAGCAAGAGAAATAGTGGAACACAAAAAACAAACTTTCATTAATATTAAAATAGATTTACAAGATGACTCGAATAGAAAATAGCAACAAAAACATAAAACGACACCAACAACACTTTTAAATGTATTCCAACGGGTAGTGAAGATCGGCGAGATATGTTGGGATGGCTAGCAGGGGTGGTGACAACAATAGAGTGCTTGTAGCAATGAGGGGATGGTGTGGAACTGAAGGGACGACAAGTGGGAAGGGTTGTGGGCGGTTGGCAACAATTCTGTGGTGGTTTGGAGAAACTTGTGGTAGACAGTTAAGGGGAGTGAAAGAGATAGGTTGGTGAGGGTAAAAATGGAAGATACAATTACCACCGTGGAAAGGATATAGACAGAGCATCACCACCTCCTCAGACACAACCCACAATAGGGAAGGAGACTCCACACAGGAGGTTTGAAATTAAACACACTCATAACTAACTCCCTACATACCTAGGATAGCAATTTATAGGCTTCGACACAAAAGGAGGGCAGAAGTATCCAGAAAACTTTTCCCAAGTGCGGTAGCTTGCAAGCCTCTGCCCGGATCACAACGATTCGTAAGTCCGCTTCACGATTCTGACCTCGCGGGAATTTTCCCACTATCGCCCAAGGTTTAGCGCTTCTTCTGCCATTGTCGCGATAATCTGCGAGTTCGCGGGGCTTCTGCCCAGCGGGAACGACGTGTTGGCATCGGGCGCTTGCGTTGCGCCCGCGTCAGTAAGTTATTTTGTTTCTTTGCACTTAGGAATAAAATGCAAAATGAAAAATGAATATATTCTCTGTGATAGGGTTGGTGTTGCTCTTGTGACGGACAAAATTAGAGAAAGTCGCCTTAGATGGTTTGGTCACATTATACGTCGACCATCTGATGATCCGATTAGAAGAGTACATGTTTTAGATTCAACTTGTGTTAAGAAAGGCACAGGTAGACCTAGGAAGACTTGGGCTTATTGTATAAAAAATTATCTTAATTTACTAGAACTAAATGAAAATATGACACTAAATTGGACGCAATGCAGAAAAATGATTCATGTAGCCGACCCCACATAGTGGGATTAAGGCTTTGTTGTTGTTTTTGTTGTTGTTGCAGTTCTCATTGTCTCTTTTCTCTGAAGATTTTACTAAGCAGTAATGATATTGAAATCCGTAAGAATGCCTATAAAAACTGTTACAAAGATATCAAAACAAAAGCTTTGTTTAATAATGTTCAGATTTATATTATTAATAATAACATTGAGTTCTGTTGCTCTTAAAAACTAAAATGTATGCACGCCTCCCGAGAAGATTTAAACATGTCCATCTACTGAGATTGCAGATGGATTTCTGAATCGCACACAGATAATTTAGGAGTGAATCCATAGAGAATGATTTTCTTCATTCTTTCTTCTGACTTCATGCTGTATAAAAAACTACAGCAGTTTTCTTTTTCAGTTGGTATATATATCTTGTGAACTTCAATACCTTTTCTTACACAATCGGCGTATGCTTTTTGTTCAACATTTTATGCTGTCAACGTACATCATCATTATTAGTTTTCTTGAAGCTAGTGATTGTGAAAACAATCAGATTAACTTGCACTCTTACTATGCTTGTATGACTTTTAAAACCTAATTTTCACGGTTCTTGTATTGCATTTTCTGCTTGCTGGTGTAATAATTTTTGTTAACACGTGTGCTTTCCTTTTTTACTTCTCCAGTCATAACATTTTTTTTTTCTTGCAAATGTTTTGATCTTTTCAATTTTTGAAATTCATGTCTAAATATCAGTATAATTTTCATTTCGTTTAACAAAAATGAACTTCATTAATAAAAATTACTTCATGGATATGAACAGCACCTGCTGCTTTGTAGTCTATGATAGATGGCGTTAAGTTTGGCCATTCATGTAGAATAGAGGATTGTAAAACTGATCTTTTGGAGGTGTTGTCTGCCAAAGCATTACATTCTCTTTGGCTTTTTTTTTCGGAAATCAGATCTTTTGTTGCCATTTAATCCTGGAAATTTGAAGTATGAGTGCTTTGCATGCTTGCTGCTGCTGATGTTCATAGGAAAACTAAATAATACTAGCACAACATGGCAAGTAGAACACAATTGCAAAATAGTACAGTTCTTTCATGAAGTTAGTTGGAATATTGGATGTTTTTCCTCATTATTTGATGCTTTTTTCGTATTTGGTAGTTTTTAAGTTCTTAGGTTTCCTCTTTTCTTTTTTCTCTTCTTTTTTATAGAAAATTTGCTGGTCATTGTATCTTGCATTTTTCAGGTCAGATATCCCGTCTTACTAACTCCTGCTGAGAAACAGATGGCAAGGGATGTTTGCCTTGCTTTCAGACAAGCGGTAAACGAGCCTTTTCTGATTCAATATCTTTCAGTAATTTGTTGTTGTTGAAAGATTGGCCTTTATAATTACCTTTATCACATCTTATATTATGTTAATTTTGCTGTTAGATATTATTTTCCTTTGCTTTCTCATGTAGTTTGCATAGTTTGTGACCCAATCTTCTGGTGATATAGTTTATATCATACATATGTTTTCTGATATTTTTGTTTCTTGAAGACAATTAGTCCTTGATACATTATCTCACACCCTGATGATTTATAAGTACCAGCCCATTGATTCATGGATTAAGCTGTACTAGATTGTTGATCACGAGCCAAAGTTGCCTATGTGCATAATATTAGGTTTCCTGCTCAACCCCATGTTGTTAATTGTCCTCAACTTTAATAGCATTTTAGCCCCATACGCGATTTAATTCCTTCATAACTCATCTGTTACATGCCGAAGTGTTCGAATCGAGCTCTTATAGTGGTCGCGGTGCAGACTTATACTTTGGGAAGGTAGTTCATCTTCATGGCCTACCTAGGAGCATTACGTAAGATAGAGATGTGAAATTACTTTGCCAGTTTTGGAGGACTTTATTGGATAAGATAGGTACGAAGTTTCAGTTTAGTTCGACAAATCACCCTTTGATAGATTGGGCAAATAAAAGTTGTAAATCGAAGTTTGGGAAACTTTCTTAGGTGCTTTTTGGGAAAGAACATCAAATAGTGAGACTTAGTTCTTCCTCGAGTGGAGTTTTCTTATAATCGCTCCACTAATCAGTCCACTGTTCACAACCCATTTGAGATTGTTCACTGACTGAACTCTCTTATGCCTTTGGAGTTGGTCCCTATGTTGAGCTTAGCAATCATGTTGATGTTCAAGTCAAGGATATTTAGACCCTATATGAGCAGGTCAGGAAGGAAATTGTCAAGTAGAACACTAAGTATTTTAGAAACAGACTAACAAGTTTAGGAAGATTATGATTTTCAAGGTGACATGGTATGGATCAGATTGAAGAATAAATGATTTCCTGTTGATTCATTTGGAAAGCTCAAGCCTAGAGCCGATGTTTCATTCATGATTGCTAAGAAAATTAATGACAACGTTACAAGATTGTTCTACCATGAGACTACAATTTATTTTCTGTTTTTAATGTCACCGACTTGTTACCGTATGCAAGGACCTAAATATTTTCTGAAGATGAGGGCGAAGCCCATTGTACCCAGGAAGAGTAACACAGGTCGTGAGATCTTTTCATGATGTGTTGGTTCCGCCATGCACAAATTCTGCAACTCGTGGCTTTCTAATTGTAGGAATCACGAGCTGAGAGTTCCTTTCTTATTTGCTTATTATATTTTCTGCAAGTTTTTTATCTTTTAATTGTTTCCTTTTTTTTATTTTCTAATTCATATTTTCTATTAGGGGAATTTTTTATAGGATGTATTAGGACTGTTTGAATTTTAGGTTTTTCGATTTTATGAATTGTGAGAAACTTGTCTTCGATTTATACAGTTCTGTAGCATCTTCTCTTTGCAAATTGTGTGTCTGTAACTTGCATAGGAACAAGTGGTGGATCCCCCTTCACCATTCTCATCTCATTGATTTACACTATATTTGTTGTTTTCAATCGAGCAGTTGTTGACGCTGCTATCACCTGTTTTTTCCGCTTCTGATTGGCTGCTCCGTCGCCATTCACACCAACTTTCAACTGCTATCCATCCTCTCTTAATACCTTTTTAGGACTCCTTGAAGGTGTTTAGGTAGCAGATTTTGCTGGCAGGTTGAATGGTAAGGGAAGGATAATATGCGAGCTCAACATCATTTAGAAGGAGATAGGTGTCGATCCGCGGCTATCCCGGCTGAAAACAACAGAGAAAACTCCGAATTGGCAATGTTCGGGCGGCGAGTAGGTTTCACTACCTATTCCTAGGTAGGATACAAACACATCGCTTCCAAAAAGAAACAATAAAACACTCCATATGTAGAAATCAAATATTAAACTCTCCAAAATATTCAATTGAAACTCAAATCTCCCAAACAAAAAACACATGCCATATAGTCTACTAATAGAGATACTCTAATTAGAAAATAGATAAATCGGAAATAAATAAAAAATGAAGAAATTCTTTTCTGTCACTGTATTGGGATGGAATATGCTCAGATCGGGGTTCTCAGGATCGTGGATGCTCTTATTCCACGGTATCCCCAATCCCGTGATTTTAGTCGGGGACTTCTGTGTCATTTTGGGTATAGGGCTAGGAATTGTGACAGGAATAGTTTGAGTATGGTGAAATTTTTTTTGGAATCTTGGACTTCGGCTAGAAAAGATATCCCCAAAAATTTTAGAGTTTGTTGTGCTCTGATAACAGATGATACTGTTTTAGGGCTCCTCTAAGTTATAAAAAGATAAAAGAAAGAGAGGTTGGTTGTAAGAAGGGTTAGAGAGGTGAGAGAATTGGAGAAGGGATGTCGAGTGAAATTTGTCGTGAAAGGTGGGATGATACCGAATCAGAAGCAAAAAATGATCATTTTCTACTGTCAAACAGCAGTAGGCAAATGTTCGGGAGAGATCATCACTGTAATCGTATCAAGCTGCAAATTAAATGAAATCCAAAGAGTTAAAACACTCTGATAATGAAAAGTAGGAGAAACATCTCTAAATAGCATAACAATAGCCAAAAATCCACTCAAAATGAAAAAGATAAACATATAAATAGTTCTCTCTCAAAAACTCTAATTCTAATTAAAGAACCATCAAATATTGGCCCTGTAATATCCTGTTTTTGTAACTAGAGGATAAGAAACGAGGAAAATCTAAGGGAGGGAAACGAGGAGTCAAGCAAAAGGTAGAAATTATGCGAGAAAGTTAGTAAGCCGAAGAGAAGAAGAGGAAAAAAATAGTCGAACAAGAGGGAAGATGAGGCGAGGAGTCGGGTAAAATAGATGTTACTTTCCCCTTATAAAAAGATACGCTTGAGGGAGCAGAGATGAGAAAGACTTACTTGGGAGTCAAACAGTGTGGGAGACATCCTAGCCAAAGACGAGGAGGCTTGAAGAGGTATTCACGTCGAGATTCGAGGGATTTAATGCGAAGGAAAAGCGATAAGGACCAAGACCGAGCATTTCACGTAGGGAAGAGGCGGGGCCGATCAAGGGAAAAGAGAATCCCTTGTTCCAACCATCGAGTAAGGAGAGGAAGAAGCATCGCGCAAGAGACGACAGGTTGAGCTCTCATGTGATTCAGTTCGCGCAGAGGGGATGAAGAAGAAGTTTCGTGGTTTAGGGCTGATCGAGGTAAGATTTATTGATTTAAAAACAAAATAAATTAATAATAATAATAATATTGAATATAAAAATTAATTAAGTGGGATTACATAATGTAAGATATGAAAATTTTATATATAATAATAAAATGTTTATAGATAGTTAAAATAATAATTTATATACTATGTTTATGATAGGTATCCAATTTTAGAAGAGTAAACATCAAAACAAATAATAAATTAATCGATATTGATGTGAGTACTCGTATTTTTAATCTATAGTAATAATTTGTTTCTTCTCAACTATTTTACAGTTAATGACACTTACACATGCTTTATTCTAATTTTGATATTTTTTATTGGTCATATTGTTATGAATGTTGTAGCTACTCACTTTTATTCATTTGGTGTATAGTTTATATAGTATGTTGAATTGAATAAGATGATAATGTAACACATATATTTATGTTGACTATTTGTATGTGCATGACTGACTATTTTAATGATATTAGTGGGTGAACACTAAGGTACCCTTGCGCGTATATGAAAAATGATAATGATATTGATGTGTCTTAATTGACACAATTTTTATATTATGTTCTTGTGATAGTTGTTTCAAAATCACAAAATCATCACCGTTTCCAAACTACGAAAGTTAAGTTGAACAAAAAAACGGCCGACAACATGCATATTGTTTTTTTCTCTTGTATTACTATGACTTATGATTATGAGTATTCACTGACTTGTTTAGCTCATTATTATTTTAAATTAACTTTTCAGGTTAATTAAGTGATTAACGATGAGCGTTTGAAGAGATAACATTTGTAGAAGACGTGGACAACTAGTAATGAGGTAATTTTAAATATAATGCTTTAATTTAATTTGATTAGTGACTTTCATTTGTTAAATTGTAGACGAATATAGAAAATTTAATTTCTACTGTCCGACCGTTTGTTCCCGTCCCCGTTAATTCCAAGCCATGGGTTCGGTTGTGGCACAATCCCCCAAACACCGCCATCGCCTTCTCTGCTACTGCCACCTTTCTTCTTGTGGCCCCTCCACCCTCAACAATCCCTACCTACTAATCCCCCTCAAGCCACAACACAACCTCTTCGACCCATGCCCTATCTTGGTGTTTATGTTGCGCATCTTTGTTATATTTCCTATTTCTGTGTATTTGTTGTAACCCATAATTACTTTGCATCATAGAAGTTGCGTTTCTCGTTATTATTTGGTTAACTTTGATATCAATATGTTCATTAAACTCCACCATTTGTGCCAAAAAGATTCTTCTATGGAGTATACAATTGAATTTGATCAACCCAAGCTGAACTGTGAGTTGGTCTAAAGGAGCACACAATATCGAGGTAACTTAGAGGACTAAGGTTATATATTAAGAATGTCGTGAAATTGCAACCATATTGGTTCCGATTGGATGTGCAGACCCTAGCTTTGAATGTGGAAAAACATCACCAGTTGACAGCCACACATTACAGGCGAAATTCAACCCAAGGATTAGAAAATAAGAGTACGTTCTTGAACGGTGTGTATTTTGCATTAAATATTAAAAAAAGTTACAAAATAAGCAAAAAAAAAAAAGAACCTAATCCCGACAAAATATCGACCCGGTCAGAATCTACAAAAAGAAAAAGGATGTGCGAGTTATCCACATTCCTAATAAAAAAGCTACCAAAAATAGCCTTTTCAGCACAAATATGAGCAAATATATATTTTTTTATATCAATGTGCTAA